TTATCAAAAATCCATAAAGAAGGTACACCCCTTCGGCCTATCGTCTCCACCATTGACTCACCTACCTACAAACTGGCCCGATTTCTGTCCGAGACCGTACAATCATTCACTGGTAAGACCACCTCAGCTGTACTTAACTCAGCTCACTCAGTATCGGTAATTAAGGACATCTCACTATCTCCAGGTGATTTGCTTGTCAGTTTCATTGTAGTATCTTTGTTTAAAAAAAAGCTGTTCCTGACATCATTTCAGTCATTGAAGATTTGGTCCAACAAGGACTGAATGCTGATGTACCTGCCCTGGTTAGACACTGCCTCACCAACAATTACTTCACCTGGAATGGAACATTCTACAAACAAGTTGAAGGTACCCCAATTGGTTCTCCCTTATCTCCAGTTGTAGCCAATATTTTCATGGAAATTTTGAGACAGATGCCATCCAGGCAACCACCCTACGTCCTTCCTTTTGGAAGAGGTACGTAGATGACACAATTGTCATCGGGCCACATGGCCTACCAGCTCTGGACCAATTCTTCAACCACATCGATTCCATACACCCAGCCATTAAATTCACCATGGAGGTGGAAAAGGATGGCAAGTTACCATTCTTGGATGTTTTAATTGAAAAGAGATCAGATAGCTCAGTGGGACATTTTGTCTACAGGAAAGCCACCCACACGGATGCCTATCTAAAACCTGACTCCCACCACCATCCAGCCCAGAAGAATTCCCTCATCAGAACTCTACACCATGGAGCTCGATGTCTTTCTGACCATCACCACCTAGCCAGTGAACTGAAACACATACACCAAGCCCTCAAGATGAATGGATATTCAGACTACACAATCCGTAAAGCTATCACCCCAACCGTTGGGAAATAACCATCTGAAGAACCAATCAAAACCATTACCTTGCCATACATACAGTGAGGGAAAAAAGTTTTTGATCCCCTGCTGATTTTGTATGTTTGCCCACTGACAAAGAAATGATCAGTCTATAATTGTAATGGTAGGTTTATTTGAACAGTGAGAGACAGAATAACAACAACAAAATCCAGAAAAACGCATGTCAAAAATGTTATACATTGATTTGCATTTTAATGAGGGAAATAAGTATTTGACCCCCTCTCAAACAGAAAGATTTCTGGCTTCCAGGTGTCTTTTATACAGGTAACGAGCTGAGATTAGGAGCACACTCTTAAAGGGAGTGCTCCTAATCTCAGCTTGTTACCTGTATAAAAGACACCTGTCCACAGAAGAAATCAATCAATCAGATTCCAAACTCTCCACCATGGCCAAGACCAAAGAGCTCTCCAAGGATGTCAGGGACAAGATTGTAGACAAGGCTGGAATGGGCTACAAGACCATTGCCAAGCAGCTTGGTGAGAAGGTGACAACAGTTGGTGCGATTATTCGCAAATGGAAGAAACACAAAATAACTGTCAATCTCCCTCGTCCTGGGGCTCCATGCAAGATCTCACCTCGTGGAGTTGCAATGATCATGATAACGCTGAGGAATCAGCCCAGAACTACACGGGAGGATCTTGTCAATGATCTCAAGGCAGCTGGGATCACAGTCATCAAGAAAATAATTGGTAACACACTACGCCATGAAGGACTGAAATCCTGCAGCACCCGCAAGGTCCCCCTATTCAAGAAAGCACATATACATGCCGTCTGAAGTTTGCCAATGAACATTTGAATGATTCAGAGGACAACTGGGTGAAAGTGTTGTGGTCAGATGAGACCAAAATGGAGTTCTTTGGCATCAACTCAACTCGCCGTGTTTGGAGGAGGAGGAATGCTGCCTATGACTCCAAGAACACCATCCCCACCGTCAAACATGGAGGTGGAAACATTATGCTTTGGGGGTGTTTTTCTGCTAAGGGGACAGGACAACTTCACCGCATCAAAGGGACGATGGACGGGGCCATGTACCATCAAATCTTGGGTGAGAAACTCCTTCCCTCAGCCAGGGCATTGAAAATGGGTCGTGGATGGGTATTCCAGCATGACAATGACCCAAAACACACGGCCAAGGCAACAAAGGAGTGACTCAAGAAGAAGCACATTAAGGTCCTGGAGTGGCCTAGCCAGTCTCCATAACTTAATCCCGTAGAAAATCTGTGGAGGGAGCTGAAAGTTCGAGTTGCCAAACGTCAGCCTTGAAATCTTAATGACTTGGAGAAGATCTGCAAAGAGGAGTGGGACAAAATCCCTCCTGAGATGTGTGCAAACCTGGTGGCCAACTACAAGAAACGTGTGACCTCTGTGATTGCCAACAAGGGTTTTGCCACCAAGTACTAAGTCATGTTTTGCAGAGGGGTCAAATACTTATTTCCCTCATTAAAATGCAAATCAATTTATAACATTTTTAACATGCGTTTTTCTGGATTTTGTTGTTGTTATTCTGTCTCTCACTGTTCAAATAAACCTTCCATTAAAATTATAGACTGATCATTTATTTGTCAGTGGGCAAACGTACAAAATCAGCAGGGGATCAAATACTTTTTCCCTCACTGTAGCAGGGGTCACCAAAAAGATTTCCAAGATCATGGGCAAACACAAGATCCAGGTTCGATTCAACACAGTACATAAAATTCGTGATCTGATCCCATCTGTGAAGGATGTGATCCCTGACATGAAATACCCCGGCATCTACAAACTAAGCTGTGTCTGCAGAAGTAGTTACATTGGGGAAACTAAGCGACATGTCTCGGACCGTGTTCGTGAACATAAGGCAGATCTGAAACATGGTAGGACGAATACTGCAGCCATGGCTGATCATTGTTTTAATGCTGTGGGCACACACGATATAGATTTTTCCAAGACGAAGGTACTCCGCAAACCCACTGGCTATCAGCAAAGATTCGTTCATGAAGCCATCCAGATATATAAACACAGACACAATTAAAACCGAGAAGATGGGTACAAACTGAACAATCATTTGAAGGACGTTATTAACCAGGTGAAGTCATTATTTTTGACTCTCTCTGGTGTTACATTAACAGTTTAAATGCCTATTCTTAGTTTTTTCGGTAAAGTCACGTTGAAGAGAAACAACAAAATAACAAAATATATATAAAACAATAAAAAATTCTCACGACGTTTCGACCATAACTCAAACGGTCATCATCAGGTGTGTCGGTTTGCATAAATTTATTTTGAAAACGGCATATTTATTTATATATATAAAAATAACGTTTGCGTCACGCGCAACGATGGCAGTTTGCCAGGACTAGTCCATCTATTTTTTTTTTTGAAAAGAGGAGGGGGGAGACGAAATTTGTTTTTATGTATGCTGTCTGAAAGGCACTGTAAGCGTGAACAATCAATCAAGAACTGAAATGATTTATCAAATCTTTCCAATGATTGCTAAGATAGAATCCATCTTCTCGGTTGAAATTGTCTCTGTGTTTGTATATGTGGATAGCCTCATGAACGAATCTCTCATGGAAGCCAGATGGCTTACAAAGAACCTCCGTCTTGGAAAAGTCAATGGCATGTGAGCCTACTGAATTAGAACAATGATCTGCTACGGCCGAGGTGTTGGTCCTACCGTGTTTAAGGTCTGCTTTATGTTCACGAATGCGGTCCGAGATATGGCGTTTGGTTTCTCCAATGTAACTACTACCACAGAGGCAACTTAGTTTGTAGACACCAGGGTATTGTATGTCCGGAATCACATCTTTTACAGACGGAACCAGATCACGGATTTTATGTAATGTGTTGAAACGGACCTGGATCTTGTGTTTATTCAAAGTTTAAATGCCTTTACATTAACAGGTTAAATGTCTCACTAACACAGCCACCGTTGCTCGTTTTCATGGATGTGGCGGTGGCTCTAAGATCTTACATTGACATGCTAATCTCTCACAATACAAGGGCCACCCCTGCAACATCGTCGTCGAGGTAGCTCAGCTCTCCGATCTTACATTTGCATGCAAATTTCATCACTAGCCCCGCCCACTTCGCTTATGACCCTTGGGCTACACCCATCTCAAACTTTTATAACATCCTGCCTCAGCAGCTCTCTCGCTATTTTTTTCACCTGATGACGATTGCTTGCGTTGCGATCGAAATGTCGTCATATTTCATTATGTTTTCTATCTACGTGGCTTTACCCAAAGACCCAGAAAATATGACCTTAACACATCTTTAAAATACGTGGACATTTATTCATTGCTGCTGTGGGTGTGTGAGAGAGGGGAGGGGGTGGTAGTGCCAGGTGGAGGGGTGGGGGATTACCTGGTCGAATGGTAAAGTTGTCTCGTGTGTCGCTTTGATTACAGACATTGTCACCAACAGTGCTGACAAGTTAGGGGGTGCGATCTACTTTCACCCGTGGGGTCGATCACTGTCCTCAAATTCCAGTGGGAATTGGATACCCGCACGCAATTCCATATTTTTATCTTCCGAAAGTCTCTCGACTGTGACCGTCTTTGTTTTTGTCAAAATGAGATGGGTGGGGGCTGGAACTGATCATTTGTTTCTGTTTTGAGGAAGGGCAGTTTGTTTAACTTATCACTATCATCATTTTCGTCGTTGTCAGAAATGATGAAGCTCTGCCGTAGGATAAGCATCTCTCCAGGCCTGCTGACTATATCAGTCAGAATCAGAATTTGTTTTTATACTGGAGGAATCAGATGAGCTATAAAGCTCTTTTTCACAGATGTCCAATAGGGGCGGGTCAGAAGGTTACAACAACAAACAGCACAAAAACACGTTAGGAGTGCAAAATACAGGAAAAGGTAAGCAAATCACTCCAAAAATATAGAAATAAAACTAAACTATTTTATTTTACCAGATAAGGCCCACTGAGCTATGTGCTTCTTTTCAGAAGCGACCAGGCCACAAACGACAGCTTGACAAAAGTTGTTTTTCACGTGGACATTTATATCAGCGGAAAAACAATCTAAAAACATCTAAACGCACATTTGCCGGTCTTGACGCTTGCTTGCTTGCTGCTGCTCCTGCTGCCTCTCCCCATTGTTTGCTGTAGGCGACGCAAAAGGAGATCACCAAGCGGCAGGGCTCGCTGGCGGCCGCGGCGGACACGGGCGCAGCGCTGCAGTCTCTGCTCAAGGGGCCCGAGGGCTCGGCCATCGACGACAAGCTCAGCCTCCTCAACAGCAACTGGATCGCGGTGACGGCACGCGCCGAGGAGTGGCTCAACCTGCTGCAGGCGAGTTGGGGGAGGGCCTGTTTGTTCCGTTCCGTGGTGGTGGGCGGGGGGCGTGGGCAGTGTCGGAGGACGTGCACGATGATGAGTCCACGTAACAATTTCCTTTCATCTCTTTTTTTATGACAGCAACATGCGAGCCGACGGGATGCGTCTTCTGGCCTAACACAGTTTGAGACGAGGCTCGAAAGAAAGCTGTCTCTGGTGTGGACCAATCAGTTTCAAAGACAATGCATATACTGTCAGAGCATGTTTTTTTTCATTCTGACCACAAGTATTGTGCTTAATGCAAGACACGATTCCTTGTAAAGGGTTTCAGTTTGGTGTTTTAACGTCTTAACACACGTTTTGTTGCCATAAAAAAGGGGAAAACCTATTCTCATATTTTGGTACTGGCAAGTTTCTTCATTTCAAGGACGGATCACCGTGTGCGGGTGTCACCGTTGTCTCGACTGGCAGGCGATCGTGGTTCATTTTAAACCAATGTTTCGTGAAAGAACAAAACACAACGCAAGCGACACGTGCAATTTGTGCCGAGCATCTTTTAAATACCCTTGTCCTCGTAGCTCGAAGTTAATTTTGTTCCCGGTCTACTTGTGCATGACCAAAATAAACATGTTTGTATGCGCGACGGGCGTACGATCACGCGGCTGGAGATGATGGTGATGAATGTCTCCGTAGTTGTTTGTTAATGGGTTTGCAATTAATCATTGTCCTTACTAATTAATTATCTGATAGCGCGGCTTCTTAATTGTGATTCCTTGTTTTCATTGCAAAACACTTGGAATTGCTCACTCATGTCACCTACCTCCCGGTGATTTGCTCCCGCGCGTTTTATTATTTCTGCCCGGGCTCCTGCCTCCAAGCAGGAATACCAGGCCCAGATGAACAGCTTCGACCACAACATTGCGGATATAACCACGTGGATATACCACTCGCAAGTTATGATGGACGACGCGGAGAAGCTGTCGGCCCAACAAAGGGATGATGTGTTTAAGGTATGGAAAGCGCGGGCTCAACGAATTGCTTACAACAGATAAGTACTGAAAATAGCTTTAGATTTGCTTCTGCGCATAGTTTCATTTGTGACAATGGTCAGGCAAAGGGGCACAGGCGCTACGGTGGCAAGATGTTAACTACCTCGCCTGGTATACGGAGGTCGTGGGTTCGATCCCGACCCTGACACCTATTTGGAGTTTGTGTGTCTCTCTCCCTGTTGTCACTTGGATTGTCTCCGGGTCCCCCTGGTTTTTCCCCTCCACATTTAGAAACATTGTGCGTTTAGAGTATTTGGCTGCTATAAATTTCCACGTGATAAGCCACTTTGTTGAGCTATCATTTGTGGCCAGGTCTCTTCTTAAAAGAGCTGTGTAGCTCAGTGGGCATTACCTGGTAAAATAAAAAATATATATATAGTTTCAAATAGCTTGCAATGTATTAGACGTATTGTTCTTAATAAGCACATCTACAAATACCCTGCACAACATTGTCAAAGGGCTTTATGCTGTTTCCTATTACGTCCAGCTTCATTAAGGCATGAACAGTGTTCCGGCCAGAGTCGTAGGCTTCATTTCAAAGTTTACGTTTGCTTATTTATATCGAGAACACCCTTCCAGTTTACTTACAAGGTTTCCGCTCTACTTGAATCCAGCTTCATGAGGTCGCACCCTCGTAAAAACCCACCATTGTCGAAAAGCGCCTGTGCTTTTTAGAGGCATCATGACACGCATGCGCCCAACGTGTCCTGTAAGTCCTTGGAAAGGGTTTCAAGTGAAACATTCAGTGCATAACGCCTACAGACGTCACAATTGTCGCAAACAGTAGGGTAGGCATTCAGAATTATTTCTCGCTTCAAATTGCCCACTGTTGTCCTTTCCCCCAATACGCCCGCGCGCTCACCTTTGCGGCGATGTACAATGTCACGCGCGTTTTTCCTTCAGACTCAAGGATTTCTGTGACGAGGGTCTTGATCGCCGTGCAGTTTGTGCGTGCGTGCGTGCGTGCCAAAGCTCATATCAGTTCGTTGTTAATATCGGAGCGGGTCCTGGGCCTTCCCACAATCGACTCGGTCTTAAAAACGAGCGAGGGAGTGCCTGCTGCTACGGCGTATAAAAGTCAGCACTGGGGGGAGATAAAGGTGGCCGGGTTGGGTTCTGGGCAAACCACCGGATCCGCCCGTCCCGCTCGACTCGTGATTTTGCATCTGTGGTGTGTTTGTCATAGCTGATCATGCTGCCTGTTTTAGATATTTTCCAAAATAAGTTCTGTTCACACTGATGCTTAAGCAAATACATCTGCCGCAAACAGCGTGTTAAGCTGTCATGGAAAATAATTATTGGCCACATGTTAACTTGATAACTTTGCTCAAAATTAAGCGACAAGGTCAAAACCCCACGCTTGAGTTTGCGTCTCTGAAGCAATCACATTTAATGTGTGCGTGAGTGTGTGTAGTGTCCATATGCTGTGCACATTTGTGTGTGTGTGTTTTTTACATGTATGATGTGTGTGTTTTACATGTATGTGTCTTTGTCTTTGTGTTTTACATGTGCTGATTATATGCTTTGTATCTTTATATTGATATAATCTGTACACCTACAACCTGGCATAGGGTAAATTACTCTGTGCTACATAGAATGTGACTCAGGCTGAATTATTTGCAATATAATGATTATATGTAATAATACTTCACAGTCCTTAGTGCATTGCTGGATGAAAGCTGCTTCACAACATGCTGGTGATCGGGCTTGTTTGGCCATACCTACCATGTTGGTCAGTGCTGGTGAATGGGGGAACCCAGGACCCGTTTCAGATATTACTTGGCACTGGTTTTAGCCGTGGACTGGACTGAAACTCGGATCAATCAGGTCAAGGGTGCAGCACAGAAACCTCTGATCCACCACTCCACCTTGTAACACCAACAACACGGGTGGAAATCGGCATTGGCATCTGGCCTGCGCTGGCCCGCTTGGTTAACTTCACCTGAACACGCGCGGCATAATGTCAGCAGCAGCTCAGGGGCGGACAGAAGAAGCCCGGAGCGATAGGTGCTCGCTAGCAAGCACATGCCCCTAGCCGTCTGGAAGAAGACCAAAGGAGAGAAGCCTTTGTCCTTCGGTCTTTGCAGCGTCTGCAGTCGGAGCTGCCTGGTACGAGCCATAAGGTGGAGGTGGTGCACGACCAAGCGGGCGAGCTGATGGCAAACCGCGGCGATTACTGCCGCCGACTCGTGGAGCCCAAGGTGACCGAGCTCCATCAGAGGTTCAACTCCGTCGCTCAGCGCATCAAGACCAGGAAGGTAAGGAGTAGGAGAAAATATTAGAACACCCACACACATACATAAGAGAGTAACACTTAGAGCTCCACAAGGATAGATTCATTAACTCGTTGCTATCATTGCCACCTCATGTGTCACCTCGCAGTCCCCCGGCCTACAAAGGCCTGGTGTTCGCTAACCCATCTCTCACCTGACTAACCAACCACACCCAACTCTGCTTCCGAGATCCGATGAGTGCGGTTTGCATTCAGGGTGATTCAATTGTAGGCAGGATAGACGCAGACAGGAGATAAATCTCACAAACTAAAATTATTAAAGTGTTGCTTTCAAAAAGTACTTTTTTCGTGACGCCATTGAAAATCCAGTTTTTTTTGTTCTTCCATTTTTACAACGTGGTGCCATGTTTTTTTTAAGGCTGACGAAGTGGAAGTGACAGGGTCAGTGATGTGCACTGGAGCGAAGGGCGTGCACACCAAGGCGTGCACACCAGGGCCGGCCACTTGCTCTCGCTGCCCTCGTACTTTAACCTTTCACCAGAAAACATTTGCGCAGAAATGCGAGATGGCCGTTATGTTTAATCGTTTTCCGTTTATTTTCTCTCTCCCTTTTATTGCTATTTTGAGCGGCTCAATTAAAAATAATGACATCCCAGCCATGTCGCTCATTTGGCAATGTAATGTTATTATTTTGATCAAACAAATATATATCTATGTATAATGCCGTTTTTTTGTGTTTAGATACAAACTGTACAAAATTGCTCATACAATTATTTTTTCTTATTAATTATTATGTATACATGAAGCTGCAAAATACTCCATGACGTTAGTTGACTCAACATTTTCAAATAAAATATTATTTTGAAAGTTTTATGTATATCACTGCCTTTCAGGGGTGTGTGTGTATGTTGGGAATGGCTATGTTGTGTTTAGCACACTGCTTATGAACCCAGTCCCAAGTTCGATTCCCAGCCATGGCTAACATCAGTGGCAAGTGGTATCAGAGCAAGTCCTGCGCCTTCCCTGGGTTAACTCGGCCTTAAATGAATACCTGGTGCAGTGTATAAACATTATCAATTGGGAGACAAAGGTGGCTGGGTGTGGAACTGGCCACATCACCTCCTTGGTGTGCCTTGTGAGTCTTAATAGGTGCTCGCTAACAACAGTATGAGCTGTATGAGGGATGCACGTGCGTTTTTCTGGGTTGGCCTGTGTTGACACTTCCCTCTGTCAAGCTTTCGCCACACACTACTGTGGCATTTTCAGGAGTTAAATTTGGTTATCTCGCCCAGTATTCGTACCTTATATATCGTTTGCCTTACGGAATGCTGACTAGATGGTGGCGCTTTGTGTGTGTATGTGTGCATGCATTTGTATGCATTGTGGGGGGAGCGGGCGTGCAGTGGTTAGCGCGCTGCACCACGAACCCTGTGACCCGAGTTTGATTGCCGCTCACGGCCAACATCGGTAACGATTATCTGCACCGGTCCTGGGCCTCCCCTAGGTCGACTCAACCTTAAATGAGTATGTGGCGTGCTGTGTAAACATCGCCACTGGGGAGACAAAGGCGATCGGCAGTGGCGCTTGCCACCCACGCCCTCGTGTGCTGTTCCGGCCTTCGCAGGTGCTCGCTTAACAGCACCTTGGCCCAACAGCCTGTTAAGACTATACGGTGGAATCTTTGTGCTCATCGTTTATTTAATCTTCAATGTATCCTACGCAGCCCATATCGGTGAGCCCGGTCCCAGTGGTCGCCACACGCGAAGCTGAGACGGTTCCTGCGTCCCCTCCGGCCAGCGATGTAATTCAGCAGAAAGTGGAGCAACAGGTCCGCAATGCACCTCGATCACGTTCCGTTTTGTACACACATAGCTCGAAATGGTGATATAATTCAACAAATGTATCATCTACACCCCCAATTAGTTTCATTAACCAGCCCGTAGCACAGGAGTCTAATTTTTTTTATGAAGATATTTTTAGGAGAGGCACATTGGCAGTGCAATTGGAATGACCCCGCATTGCAGCCATGGAATTTGCCTTACATCTTCAGACTTATTCAAAATCCCCAGCTTGAGTCACATGATTTAGAACAATATAGATTTACGTTTTGTTTATTTACATTCCAGCCTATATTTGCTTAATACAGCCTGAGCAAAAATAAGCGCCAGATGGATTTATGCTCCACAGGAACGTAAGACTGCAGAAATGGGGTGGTATTCATTTACAGCAGCAGTTGATAGAGAATGGTTACATATTATGTGCATTATGAAGCCACTGGAGCTATGCACGTTTAAGTCTAGATGGAAAACTCTTTTCATTAGAACTGTTTTCTGTGTTCAGTTTGTTGTTGTCCTTCCCCCATACCTCCAATTATCACGGTTGGCTACGTACGGTGCGAAGGAAGTTCAACGTACACACATGCACACACTTTAAGGCATCGCGAAGCGTTCTTGCCACTCAGCTGGACTGTGTTGATATGTGCTTTGTGAACAACGTTCAGGTTTAGCTGCTGCTTCTGCATGCGCATCAAGTCCGTTTCGTGCCATTTCTCTCAGCTTTTAAGGCTGTGAACTTTTTGTACACATATGTATTTTCCCCAATTTTATCCCGGCTCTGCTATTGGGTGTCCAGGCATGAGACAGAGTACATTGGTGAAGCTGTGGCATGCCTTTTAGACGAGATTTTTAATGGAGATTTTTCCCTAAAATCCTTTTAAGTGGCCTTTTCTTTATCCTTCACACAGAAAGGGCTCGCACTTTCCCACATGCTCCGCAGTGAGATTGTCGCACGATAGCCAAACTGATACCTTATTTGTTTCAGTGCTGGAATTGAGTGCCAAATAGAGTTCAAAACCTAAATAGCGCGCGCAGTCACCGGTCTCTGTTCTCGACCGTCTGCTGCTACGCTTGAGCACGTGGTTTAATTATGGGTGCCTGCTCGAATTCGAACCGATGATCTCATTGGTGCCAGCTCATTGCTCTGACCTCTGAGCCACCTCCAGGAAATTCGCTTTGGTAACATTGCCTCTCCTGGGGGGGGGGGGGGGGGAACTCGGGGGAAATTATTTAAAATAAAAAAAATATGCAAGTAAAAGTTATGCCTCCTGCTTTTGTGTAACTGTAGAAGCTATTATTATTGTAGAAGCTTTATCAGACAAAAAAACAACCGAACCACTTATGCCGCTATCCGAGACGGTCCTTGCGAACACAAGGACTATCGGCTATCATGTGTGACGACCACTCATTGCAGGGCATGTAGAGGTGTAGCCCGACTGTTGATAAGAAGGCCTCGTCCAAGGGATTTCGAAATAAATTTGTGTCTCTTCGCTTTCCTGTAGAGCCTTTGGCAGAAACATCGACCATTTTATTTTTCAACTTATAAAGCTTGGAATACCCACCGTGATGGTGGGGGTAGACTTCTCCTATTCTTCTGGCTTTCGTACGAATAATTTATGCGACCAATAACTGGGACAGAAATATTTTCTGTGAGACCAGGCTGCAATGAACATAAGCAGCAGGGTGTCTTCCTTTACCGTAGGGTTCTTTAAATTTCATACCGCTGCACGTTTTCCAATGGGCACCTCATTTAAGGCAGAGAGCAGACTGACCTGGCAGCGACCCTGCCTGGGCATTGCTCCCACTTGAGATGTCCGTCCCACTGGCCTGGGTTAAACCCGGGAATTGGCATTAAAACGGGGTCCTTCAGGCGTTGGGTCGCCCACAAATCTGTTTATTTCCCCCATTATTATTGTCTGGATACCAAGAGCATGCCAATGAATGAAAATAAAATCCCTCATGTATTAACGTTTCTCCCAAATTACTTTTATCGGTTTCTTCCTCTTTTTTTAATGCTGAGTTATTCTTTAAGGTTTTTATATATAGAGAGAGAAATGAGGAAGACACACTGTTATGCCATGGCTCGGTAAAAAAAAAAATGTAAGTAGTGACAAGCCGGTGTCAGCTTTATAAATAAAGCAGAGCATAAAGCAATTTCCCGCCAAAGGCTTTGGCCCAGTCCTAGGCGGATGCAAAGTAAATGTGAAACTGCTAACGCTGATGAATACTGCGCGCATGTTGACTGTGGCTTTGATTATGTTTCGGGATGTGTATCTGCCAGTGTTTAATCCCCTTGATTTGATGGATGCATGCTGTTCCATCCCAGCAACCTTCCGCATGTAGCGTAGTTTAACGGTGATTTGCATGATCGTAATTTATGCCCGCACATCTCCCTCTCTGTCTCGCTGTCGTCTTCTCTAGTGCACGTAACTTCCACTGTGATCTATCTTGCTTCTCCAAACCTGTTGGCTTCTCTGAAAATTCTTCATTCCTCTCCATTGCCATTCTGGATTTTTGACTTCCCTCACGTTATATCGCTCATCTTCTGCATTCTTCTTTGCTGAACCCACTCGCCACACAAACTCACATGTATAAAACAAAGAGCACTTACCTTAACTGCCCCTAACTATTTTGCTTGCTTGTTTGCTCTTGGATGAACTCTAACCCTTGACCCCTACCCCGACCCCTCAACTGCACGCATCGCAAGTAGAGGCGACTCTTGGAGGCCAGAAAGCCGATTGGCTCAAGCCACGCCAAAGGCAGCTACCGATTGGCTAGCTTGTCGTCTGTTCGGTCAGAAGAGAACTCGCCCGCTCCCCACAGCACCAAATCCCCCTCCCATATCGTCTCGCTACAGGCAAGGACTTTAACTAAACACCAGCACCAACAGAAAACAAAAATAGACGAGATATTTAGGGGGCTTATCTCCATTAAAGGCGTTCTGTGTGCCTTTGAGGACATTGGTTTACCAGAGTGTTCGCGTGTTTGCGCCTTTGTTAAACATTGCCGTCGTTATTTTCACATCATGGAAATGGAAAGGAAAATTGTAAAGGGATGTTCTGAGTTTTCTTCAAACATTTCTGTTGGTTCTTGTAGACACTCAAACCTGCGTGTTTGTATTTGTTTAGTCACTTGGTTTATTTGCACTTATTTAATTTGCATATATTTTTTCCTGTATCACAAATCCCATTTCGCTTCATGGCTTTTGCAGTTTTTAAATATATGTATTGCATATCATTAAATATTGCATATCATTAAATATTGCATATCATTAAAAAACCCACAGTTTGTTGTATTTGCATTGAGCCCCTGAGACTTCACCAGTCACAGCAAATAGAGCGGCAGTCATTGCAAATGATCAAGATCGGATTCGAGCTTTAGGAGTGATTGTGGCTCACCACATCGCCCCGTATGCACGTGGAAATGTGCCATCGTGTACAAATCAGGCGCCCTGCATTCAAAGCTGCGCCGATTAAACACAAAAACATATATATGATTGCTTCCTTCCCCACATGGCGAGAACGACCGTGAGCCTTGGTGTGGAGACGGGTCGGCCAGACAATTGGCAATAGTCAGTAGAAATTGCTTAGCGTACACATGACTAGTCGAATAAATTCACAGGACAAAGTCAATAAAATTAATTAATAATCCACGGGCAGCATACAGCCGGTCCGAGATATGACATTCACCGGGTGGACATTTTTAACGCATTTAGTTTGAATGCAATCCAACACGCACGCTCCGCACGATAACTGCACGCCCACGCTAAACCATCATTTCGAGCCGATGTTATTCAAAGTGGTGTGCTAAAATTGTTGTCATCCATAGCGGTGTCTAAACCATTCTACACGATTGGTTTGCTTGTCCCATTGTTTTTGCGCCTGCATTCACCCCCCATCGTTCATTCGTGTTTGGGCCCCATTGGTGGGCTTTTTTTAAACTAAAAAAAAACAGTCCCCTGTGAGTCACCCCGTTGATAATTGTGCGTGCCTAAACCCACAAGGATGCACGTCACGTTGTAGCGTGTAGAATTTCGCCACAATTTTCAAGAAGAAAAAAAACTACCTTGACCGTACCTCCCACATTCGCTGTTAGGGTATTTGCAGAGGGCCTTTTAAATGCGGGGAGCGCAATTATACGGATTAGCTGGAATGAGGGGAATAATAACGATAACAATGACAGTAGTAGTAATATTAAAAGTAATAAAAATAAAATTAATTGCATCGCGACAATTTATAGGACATGCAATTTCCATAGACTTGAGAACAAAACGGCAAAAACGTTGATGTGTCCAGTAATTAAAGTGTTAAATGACTGTAATTTTCATAATAGGTTTTAATCATAGCCTTCGTCAGGGATCACTGAGTGTGTTGTGACAGCGGCATTAAATACATTGTACACACTATGCCCACACGGGCTGCACAAACATACATTTGTATGGAGCTATTCGTTTTTACAGTCATTTTAAAACACCATCGATTTTTGTTTACATACTCAAGCACCTGCGTACGATGTGCCACGCGTTCTTAGTTGCGTGCTTTCTTTTTTAATCTGGAGAAAACAATTACGAGTGCGTGCCACTCGTTTACGTAAAGTCGGCGATTCCGAGGTTTTTTTTGTGCTCACGGTATTCAAATTCACGTCGATTCCCGGGTTGCTGTTTTGTCAACGTGGCCGGTGCCTAGTGGTGACCCCGTTTTTGTGTTGATGAAATTCTCTGCGTTGCCAGTCCTAACGCAGGAGATCAATCACAACCGCAAAAAAGAAGAGGCATTGAACAGTCTCCACTTGAAAATAAATTAAACAGCTGCTGCCGTTCCACCAAGCGCACCCACATATTAAATGAGCAGAACACTGTTTCTGTGTCTCCACGCATAAATAAACATTCTTTAACCCATCGGGCACATTGCCTCTCCAGAACAATATTACCCAGCGGAATGTGTTCGGCGCACACGCGTTAGGCCTGTCGTCTTCTGCAATTACAACGCGTGAATAGGCAACTGTTTGAAAGCGGCCCTAACGATCAGACTGCTGTGGGGACCCGGCTGTGTTTTGGAAGCCCTAACGATCGACCTGTTTTTTTTTTTTTTTGGACCCGCGTGGGTTTTTCGGCCGCGGCCACGTCGGCCTCGGCCGTTTTGCATTGGCGGCAACAGGGAGGGGAGCGCATGGCGTTTGGCGACGGCACGGACGGGCCCACGTCGCCGGAGGCCGCTGCTACCGCCGGCATCGTCTTTGCGGCGGCCTCTCGCGAACAGGGCCTGGAGCACGCCCTGAGGCAGCTCGACGCGGACATTCAGCGCGGGGAAGATTTGTACGAGGAAGATTTTGAAGAAGGAAAGGTGCGTGCTGGCCACGCGGAGGGCCCTCGGCTCTGTAATCGCTATAAAACATGAATGTAATTGTGCACGACCGTGTGTGACCCATATTGGTGCATCTGCCAGTCATCTCGGTCAGTCAAACCCATGGCACCTGCTGGGGCTGTTCCGTGACTTCCTGTCAGCGAGCCTTCGACACTTCACGTGGCCTCAAACTGCACCTGGCCTGGCACATTGTGCCGTGGTGATGTCACCGGCACTTAGTGGCGAATGGTGGGTGTTGTTGTTGCGACCCATGTGTAAGGGGAGCGGTGGCGTAGTGGATAGGGTGCTGCGGATTGAACCCGGTGACCCAAATTCGATTCCGGCTCATGGCCAACGCCAATGATGATTATCTGAACTGATCCTTGGCCTCCCCTAGGTCGACTCCACCTCAAATGAGTACTTGGGGTCGTGTGTAAACATCACCACCGGGGAGACAAAGGCAGTGTTGGCCACCCACCCCCTCGTGTGCCATGCCAGCCTTCAGAGGTGCTCGCTCACAGCACTTGCTCCACCAGTCTGTTCAAGCTATACGGGGGTCTTTTTCTTTGTGTTTGGCCCACGTGTTGTCTGCTATTCACCAAGGTGGGGGGGGGGGGCAGGGGAATACAAACAGGCGAGGTGGGGGCCATGGACACAATACAACTTTAGACAAATATTAAACGCTGCTCTCGCTGTTGGCCACTTACGTCACGATGGGGCAAGTCTGAAGAAAACCCACCAGCAGTGTAACATATATCACTGACATTATGTTTACTTCACTATAAAAATCTAGAAGGGGTGGGGAGGGCCAATGCTATCACGTTTCCCCCACCAACCCTCATAAATGTTATGAATTGTCACAATTTAGTGGTGTCTCTTGATTCAAGATTCAATTATATTTTTTCTTGCTGATATGAACTTTGCCTGTTTTTATATTATATCGTTCGCACAGTTGTGTTTGCACCATTAGCCAGAATGTTATTGTTTGTGGTATAATCTGCGTGCAATTTTCATGAATCTTAAAATATAATCTCTTCTCGCATGCCCCAATCAATGCACGTATCATAAGTGTAAGGATAAATTTCAATCGACCATGAGTTGATGCGGAGTTACGTGCCCTACATTATTTCAGCCTCGATCAAATTGCGCAACAGGCCCAACTAAAATTTGACTTGATTATAATTGTTTAATATTTCTGAGAGAGAGACGAAAAAATTCAATATTGACATTTCAGCTAATTGCAAATGTTACAGGTCAGATATGAGAGGCGAGAGACTTGTAAAGGTGCGTGATATAACGGGTGAGGTTTAGTTAATACCTGTTCAAAAAGGTCAAGTTTCTCAGTGCTTAAATGAGCTTTGGCTGGCACTTATTACACCAGTGCACCCTCTCCTGACCAGTACACCTATTAAGCTAAAACAAGTGCTTGCTTACAACCTCCGAAGGGTATAAGGACCTATCACTATAAGGAGCTCTCGATGAGCCGCTCCAGAGAGTATTTTGCCTCCCTCTCCACACTGGCTGGACCTCTTTGATGAGGTGGTAGTATATATTCTTTACATCACCCAAATGCAGCCTCCCGATTGACTAACTGCTACTCTGAATGCAAAACGAATTGTGTATGTGTGTAGAGGACGGACGACCGCTGTAAACGTTGCTCACGACTGACACTCGGGTTGCCAGGTTGAGAGTGCAGTCTGTTTACCACCACGCTATAGCTCACATGAAACAAGTACCGTAGTTTATACGACAAATATTGATATAATGCGCGTATTTATGTATTGATGAATTAACATTTGCTTGTAATATCTAAATAATTTGTGCAATTTGGTTGAAATATTTTAGTTTATGTGATAAGTTAAAAACAGGCAAATAGTTTATTATCTATAGGTGACATGAAACCATAGATGAAACTGCTTGAGAGACTATAGATAGAAATGTTGCTTTCTTTTTACCATTGACACATTTAACGGGGTACACATTGGGGAGAGTAAAGTAATAAATAAAATGGAGCAATACGAAGCCATATCCAATGGCTGCACAAAAATATAATTAACAAGCGTCTCTGCAGAATGGGATTTCTTGATCAATACTGATAGAAGGCATTGTGTCAGTGACCTAATATTGGTAGAAAAAAGCCTATTTTTTCAGCTTTTTTTTAATATCCCCATGTCTCCATCAAAGCCGTTTACTCCGTACCTCCGCTCCTGTATGAGGCCATTTGGGACCCGCATGGCACAACACAAGCAAATCTGGCCTTCGCTATTTCAATTCGGTGGGGCAAGGGGGGCTCCTGAAGATTGTGGGAAAAAGAAACATCTGTATTTTGATCTGTTGCATCCGGAGAAATTGACGGCATATAGATATTTTCAATTTATATTTGTGTGCATTATAAATACATCAGAGGCTTCAACACTTGTCACGCGGGTAGAAATTTCTTGTAGATATAGAATAAAGAAAACGCGTTCTTATATTTTGAAATAGTTTATGACAACACCTTCAGTTATCAGAGTTTGGAAAGCTGCGATTGCATTTTTATTATATAGAATTTACAATAGTGAGCAAAAGGGAACTAATTTAGTTTATTTGTCATTTAAAATTGTTTTGTGCAAACATTGTGAAGCTTGCCAAGGTTGATAGCGGTCATTTAAGTTGAAACAAAGTTATCACGATTACAAAATTGAAGATTGCAAGGATGGAAGCACAGAGTAATGGACACATGGATGCAAAACAAATGCTATAAAATAAGTAAAATAATAATAATCATGGTAGAAATAAATGGCTTCCATTGTTATGGCAAAAAAAATCTATAAATTATATAACTCCCTTGTCTGTGATTTTATTAAAATGTCCAAGGCAGGGGAGGAACCAGCGTCTTTATTATCCACATTTATTTCATAAAGTCAACATGGCATTTGTATTTTATTAAGCCACTTAAAATAAGTAACTTCACTTAAAAAAAATAATGTGTTTATTATTCCCACTGCTAATGTTTTTTTTTACATTATAGGACACCACATGTTGCAATGGGAATTGGAATTCTCGCAGTTTACGCTGTTAGACTGTTAATTGCACAAATTGTAAAATTGCTTTGACAGTCTATAATTGAGGTGGCAAATGGCACTCGTTTAATCACTGCGGGGCCGGAGAGCGGAGTTACCCTTGGCGCACCGCGGTAAACACCGGGGTCGGCTCCGTAATTTCACACTTGCCAATCTTACGTCGGCGGGAATTTCACACTTGCTCACTTAAAGAAAAGGGAAAGTGTGGTAATTAGTCGGACGTGAAACCCCCCACCCCCCAACCGATTGCAAATCACGTGAAGGAGATTCTGCTAATTGCACATTATGGGCGGGCGACGAGAGGCACGGGGCAGGGCCGGGCTGATTTGAGACTCCCAGTTGCCATGTTAAGTGCGTTCCTTAGCTGATTGGACACCTTTGTCTTGTTTACCCATTAACGTGTTCCATTTCCATGCGGCACGCGCGCACATTGTGCGTGAAACTTTACTTGACGGTGTGTTTTTTTTTTAGATGTTGCCCGCTTTGCCAGGATGGTTTTCATGGCCGAGATGTAACATTCAATTTGGTTTGTGAGCTTACCTGCCATAGCCGCTAAAACACCGGAAATAAAAAAAATGTGGAGGACGTAGTATATAATCCATCCGTGCCTGAGGACAAGTTTAAAAGCGAAAAGACACTTTGTTCCTTGATGGGAGGTTGTTACGGTTGCGCTCTACGGCTCTCCGACGTGTCTCCGCACAGTACCGCGCGTCGTTCAGCGAAGCGACGTCCGCCGCTTCGCCCCGCGTGCTTTCGAAGCCGAGGGTCTTCCTTGAGTTCTTGAAGAAGTTCTTGAATGTTCCGGCATTTTGCTCTGCGTGCTGAGAGCTTCAGGAATGGAACATCGCTCCGAGCCACCGTGCGTCAGAACATCGTGCCGAACAAATGCACGGAATGATTCAAAAGCCCACCAGACAGATACGTCCTTTCCCCCCAGGATATTCATAAATCTCAGTTGGCAGGAGGTTTTTTGATCGCATAGGGGAGAGGAGAGCAGTTTAAGGCTTGATAAACTGCACGTACCTATAATTGTTATAACATCTACACTGCTTTGGGGATGTCACACTTCTGATTACTTAATTCCACAGGGAGAAAGATTATCCTTACAAACTTTTTTGATATGACAGTGGATATGAGTGGTAGAGGGCAAAACTTTCATGGGGGGGGGGGGGAAAGAAAAAAAAGCATTCGATTATTTGCGATCACTCTGACATTGCAATTGTAACGTGAGGAGACGTTCGCACAGGTTGAAAACAGTTTTTTTTACAGGAATCGTGTAGCAGGTGTAACACTTTTACAAGAGGTGTTTTTTTTTCGACCACAAACACCGTGCCAACGCACGGGCGATGTCATGAACCATGAGTCGTTTATTTGGCGTCACTCCCATATACAGCTGTCCCCTGAGTAAATGCCGTGCCAAGGTATTTCAGGGTAAACGCTGTTTACTCCGTAGCATTACCAGGTGACGCTTTGTTATTCCTTAAAATCTATGAGCCAGTCTCGACTCACTTTTTAAAGGATTCAATGGACTATGCTTCGAAATAAATATATTGCAGGTAGAACTAAAGTACTTAAAAACATTTCCTTCCAAACTCCCTGCAGTGTTTTTGTTCCTATAGAGTTTCTTCGTCCGATCTTTAGCCAATCTTGTTTCTACTTAGATTCAACTTTTTATTTCTATCAAGCCAGTTGACCTTCATGTGACAAACTAAAACCAGAACATTGTCTTGTTGTTGATTTTTACTTCAGTACGTATGATAATCTTCTCTCTGTATTCCAAGGTGAAACTAGCAACGTTGTGCATGTATAGCCAGGTTATTAAGCCATTCGATAGCCTCTGTGGAGGCTTGGTGGACATCTGTGACATTTGCCCATGATCATCCCCATCCATGATCTGTGAATACGGCAATCCTGGATCGTGAGACCCAGGGCCTGACTCTGGTGATCTTTGGCAGTCACATTGCCGGCTGTCCAATAATTTTCTATCATTGAAGAAGGTGACTGCATCTGGCCATGCGCCTGTTTTGCAGTGATTTTGGGCTGTATTACAATATGTGTATATCGGTGACGTGATAATTCCACGTCATTTCATCCAAAGTAAAGAAAACTTTTGTTGTTTCAATCTACTCAACCCCACAATTTGATTTTCAATTTTAACTGTTACCTTGCTGCAATGGCGATTTTGTTATTTTTATTCATTGAGCTGTCAACAAACGCCTCGAGACGCTTGCACGGGGGGGCGTTGATTGTGTTCACAGAGCTGTGTAAGTGTTGTTTGCATGCTGTGTTAGAGTGAAATTGTAAAACAAAAGTTGCTAAATGTGCCTCAAAAGCCACAGCAGCATTGGAATTTCTGCAATAAATTTGACCACAGTGCCTGATTTTTTCCACCGCCACCCCTCCCCCCCCATGTACATATTTAAATGCGCACGCATACAGCATAAGATGTTACGGAATTATATATATTTAAAACCTCGAATTAAAAACTAGGCAAAGATCCCCTTTTTAGCCTGAACACACTGTTGGGGCGAGTGCCATTCGCACCTATGACCGCCTTTGTCTGCCCAGTGGCGATGTTTACACACCACACCAGGTTATTCACTTGAGGCTGATTCGATATAGGGGAGGCCCAGGATGAGTGTAGATAATCGTCACTGGTGTTGGCCGTGAGTGGGAATCAAACTCGGGTCGCAGGGTTCGTAGCGCAGCGTGCTAACCATTATACCACCGCTCCCCCCCCCCCCTGTCACCGCGGCGTCTGTGCCAGGCCAGGTACACTTAGAGGCCACGTGACGTGTCGAAGGTTCGCTGACAGGAGGTCACGGGAGAGACCCAGTTGCCATGAGTTGGCTGACTGAAATGACTGGTAGATGCACAACAGCTGTACCCCCTACTGTGCCATCTTGCTGCATTTAGCCGCCCGGCACTCCGCTCGTTGTGAGCGTCGCTCCTCTGCTCTCAGTTGTTGTTGGAGGGCAGCTGCCTCCAACTGCTCAGTAGCGTCTGTCATGAGCCTCCTCCGTAATTAAATACACACACACACGCAATCAAGGTCTCGATTGTTATAATGCTCAGACGATATATATTTGTCAAAGTTCCTAAGTGTTTTTTTTCTAATCTCAGTCTGGGCCAACACACCTATTTTTTTGTACAAACCTTGCCTTGCTTTAAGTGTGCTAGCATTTGTCACCAAAGCATTCTCAATCAGAATTAAAATAGCAAATGGTAATTTTGGCTGCCCCTGGGGAAGAAAAGCATAGTAAACGTATAAAAATCCGAAGATCATTGTCAATATTCTGCACACGACGTCAACTATATCCGATCACCCAAGAGTAGCTGTCAGGTTTAACGTCTTACATGTCAGCTCCTCTTGCCATTGTGCATATCGATAAGCATACCCAGAATACATTATGAAGGACTTCCATATATCGTTGCCATTATTGGGCGCTATTTTGCAACAACAACAAAAAAATCCAAGTTTGATTTCAACCAAAGGGTGAATATTCCGATGGCAGTGTTAGCATCATTTTATGTTTAATCATTGACCTTGTAGGTTCGTTTTTCCTGACATTCACGTGCACTGAAGTCGTCTTGAAAAGCACCTTCACGTTTCAGTATTGGGAAGCAAGGAAAACAAAGTACAGTGAGGGAAAAAAGTATTTGATCCCCTGATGTTCATAAATGATCAGTCTATAATTTTAATGGTAGGTTTATTTGAACAGTGAGAGAGAGAATAACAACAAAATCCAGAAAAACGCATGTCAAAAATGTTATAAATTGATTTGCATTTTAATGAGGGAAATAAGTATTTGACCCCTCTGCAAAACATGACTTAGTACTTGGTGGCAAAACCCTTGTTGGCAATCACAGAGGTCAGACGTTTCTTGTAGTTGGCCACCAGGTTTGCACATATCTCAGGAGGGATTTTGTCCCACTCCTCTTTGCAATCTTCTCCAAGTCATTAAGGTTTCGAGGCTGACGTTTGGCAACTCGAACCTTCAGCTCCCTCCACAGATTTTCTATGGGATTAAGGTCTGCAGACTAGCTAGGCCACTCCAGGACCTTAATGTGCTTCTTCTTGAGCCACTCCTTTGTTGCCTTGGCCGTGTGTTTTGGGTCATTGTCATGCTGGAATACCCATCCATGACCCATTTTCAATGCCCTGGCTGAGGGAAGGAGGTTCTCACCCAATATTTGATGGTACATGGCCCGTCCATCGTCCCTTTGATGTGGGAAGTTGTCCTGTTCTCTTAGCAGAAAAACACCCCCAAAGCATAATGTTTCCACCTCCATGTTTGACGGTGGGGATGGTGTTCTTGGAGTCATAGGCAGCATTCCTCCTCCTCCAAACACGGCGAGTTGAGTTGATGCCAAAGAGCTCCATTTTGGTCTCATCTGACCACAACACTTTCACCCAGTGTCCTCTGAATCATTCAAATGTTCATTGGCAAACTTCAGACGGGCATGTATATGTGCTTTCTTGAGCAGGGGGACCTTGCGGACGCTGCAGGATTTCAGTACTTCATGGCATAGTGTGTTACCAATTGTTTTCTTGGTGACTATGGTCCCAGCTGCCTTGAAATCATTGACAAGATCCTCCCGTGTAGTTCTGGGCTGATTTCTCACCGTCATCATGATCATTGCAACTCCACGATGTGAGATCTTGCATGGAGCCCCAGGACGAGGGAGATTGACAGTTCTTTTGTGTTTCTTCCATTTGCGAATAATCGCACCAACTGTTGTCACCTTCTCACCAAGCTGCTTGGCAATGGTCTTGGAGCCCATTCCAGCCTTGTGTAGGTCTACAATCTTGTCCCTGACATCCTTGGAGAGCTCTTTGGTCTTGGCCATGGTGGAGAGTTTGGAATCTGATTGATTGATTGCTTCTGTGGACAGGTGTCTTTTATACAGGTAACAAGCTGAGATTAGGAGCACTCCCTTTAAGAGTGTGCTCCTAATCTCAGCTCGTTACCTGTATAAAAGACACCTGGGAGCCAGAAATCTTTCTGATTGAGAGGGGGTCAAATACTTATTTCCCTCATTAAAATGCAAATCAATTTATAACATTTTGATATGCGTTTTTTCTGGATTTTTTTATTGTTATTCTGTCTCTCACTGTTCAAATAAACCTTCCATTAAAATTATAGACTGATCATTTCTTTGTCAGTGGGCAAACGTACAAAATCAGCAGGGGATCAAATACTTTTTTCCCTCACTGTATATATTAATGAGTGCTCTATCATGGCTGCCGGGGACAAATTATCAATGTATGAGCGTGTTCATTTGTTCACACCCGACTCCGTGCCCACCATTGAGTTGCCGCCTTCATGTCACAATCGCAGGAGGATGTTGTTGAGGGTTTGGTGGAAGAGGCTTTGAAGACGGGGGAGCAGCTACTGAAAGAAACGAAGGATGAAAGCGAGAGGGAGAGAATCGGTGCCAAACTCAAGGCGCTGAGGAACAAGTATGCGACGATAAAGGTACGGCCAAAGATGCAGGCCGCCCTTGCCTCCTGGTTGCCCTTGTAAAAAGGGGAAGTTGTTCCTCGTGCCACAACGGTGTGCAGTCGACCCTCTCCACTCGCGACGGGTTATGCACTTGAAAACGCTCGCGAGTGCAGAATTCCTGTATGCAGAAACCTTGTTCCAATGGGGGAAAACAATGGAGCTACGTTCCTGGTACAAATAATAACAATGACTGCAATAAATAAAATATAAAGAACTATGTGTTTTTAAAAATTACTTTTGATGCTGATTTGACGCTGATGAAGGTGGTGGTGATGGTGAGGAATTCAGGGGGATAACTTCTCGGGAGATTCTATGAGAGAGGAAAGTGCGGACACGCAAAGCGGGTGGCCGAGGTGGCGTGCAAAATCTTCGCAGACAGTTTCAAACGTAGTAAGATTCTGCGCGCACCTCCCCGGTGTTGGTGGTCCAGCAACTACGTACACTCGCGAATGCTCAAGTCTGGCGGGTCGCGATTGGGGAATTAGTGTACATTTAGTAACTAGCGAATAAGCGGAACTCACGAATCCAGAACTCGTGAATCGCTAGGGTTCATCGTATTCCATATCTCCTTGATCAATAAATACATCTCCTGGATAAGTGAAGTGTGCATAAATATGTACGCGAGACAGAAGAAATCACTGATTTTCTCTTAGGGGCCATTGGTGGTGAAGTGTAACCTTGGATAATGGACCTTAGAGCCTCCACAAAGCTGCTTACCAGATTGCATTCAAACACAGCCTCAGAGACGATAGGCTCTCCCGAAGCTGGACACGGCTAGAGGGCTTAAAGGCAACGGCACCAGCGCGGAGCCTGCGGTAGGCCGACGTGACCGGTGAAAGCCGTGCCCCTTGGGCGCGCCAGTCTTGAGGGCCGTATTCTCTCGACGTCTCCTGAGGCGCTCAGTTTCTTTGAAAGCTGAACGAGCGGATCAGCCCTCGCTTGCCTCGGGCTTGGCTCGTGGGAGTCCTGAGCATGGCCGGGAAACACGACCATGCGTGGAGCCACCTCAAAAGCCGTTGCTTAGCTCGAGCCAGAGCTGAGCCATAGCCGAGCCGTGCATGAAGAATACCGGCCTAGCATGTGCTTTTTATACTGGCAGCTTGTGCTCTCTTTGTTTGCGTGCTATTAATTACTTATATTCGTGGATATGTTTATTTTATGAAAGATTCACATTTAACAAAAACAAAACTACAAATAATAAAGAAAATATAGACAATGTTCAAAACTGAGAGGGCACGTTGTCACCACTGGCAGAGCACGTGCCAGACTGACGCGATCGTTAACCCCCCATGCCCTCGTCTGTCACTGCAGCGTGCCCGCCTAGTGGCTGCCTTGCGCTCTCTAAATGTTGGACCTTCAATGGAAAGGTAGAATTTATTTATTCATGAGAAACAATAATACATTAAAACAGTCGGTTGGATTGTTGCGTTGCGAGACGGTTAGGGCTGGCGATATTATTGCAAAGGCCTTCAACCAGCAGTGGCTTGCTCATCGATACCGATGATAATGATTCACATTTGCGTAAATTGCAGGCCTTTTACTGCAGAAACCTTGCTTAAAGTGGCGGACTCCATTGCCAATTGCGCGTCGTGCTCTCAAATGTTAAACACAATCGCGAGCGTATCATTCGGCGGTGCGTTGCAGCGCAAGCGCACGCTGCGCTGATGAAATAAATTGGACTGCGCCGATGCGAGAAGGTCGAATATAAATAATTAACGACTGAGAAATCAGAACTGTGCTGATATTCAGCAACGGGCAAAAATGGCCCCAGTGATTGATTGGTACAGAACTGCACTTCAGGCAGGAGCATAGCTCATGCTTTATAATCGAGAACCACTCGGTCACATTGAGTTTATCGGTTCTCTGCCGGTCGGTAAGAACACACCCCGCCGATGAAATGGAACATTCCACCTGATCTCTCTCCGCCTTGCCTCCCCCATGTTTCTTCTCTGCGCAGGAGGTCAAGATTGTACGTCGACAGAAGGTGATGGAGATATGGCCAAGTTGGTACCAGTACAGGCGGGAGACGGATGATATGATGCAGTGGTTGGATGACACGGAGCAGAGACTCACTGGAATGGAGGGGACGCCCAATGAGCTGGAAGTTCAGGTGCCGATCCCGTCCTCATTTTATCTCCACGTGGGAAATGTGTCAAGGCCTGAATTCTGCATGCATGCATGGCCACACGGCTCCACTTAATTTCATATTAATAGATGCAGGTGTTATTTAATCTTATTTCAGAGCCTTTTATTCCAAGTATTTTCCCTCCAGCTTAAATTACCCACTTTACCAGTGCGTGTATACAAATCATGTCTTGTTAATTACTGTCAATGATGCATTTATTCAATGGGTGATACAAAGAAGGATCCGTGGGGGCAGACCAGGTACATGTGCGCAGCTGTGCACCCAAGCATAGATGGATTATTCGAGGTAAAAGTTGATGGTGTTTACACTTTGCCAGAGAGGCACAGTCAACTTTAAAAGAAAGCTGTGTTTATTGAGCAAGCCAAATGAATATTATCTCTACCATCCTACGCAGTAGCTCGGTGTCATCCTGCAAGCAACGGGACGATGCGACTCCAACCCTCGCAGTTGTTGCCTTGCGCAAGATTAAATTGTATAGCATATCCACAACAAAAAATGTAATCTAAATACCATGCTGATGCAATGGCATAGCAAGAGATTTTCTACGAAAAATTTAGTATAAAAAATACATCTGTGCATCAGAATATGCTGCCGAGGTGTAATGGTTAGCACAATGGTTACCACAATGGTTACCGCAATGGTTAGTGCAATGGTTATCGCAATGGTTATCGCAATGGTTATCGCAATGGTTATCACAATGGTTATCACAATGGTTAGCACAATGGTTAGCACAATGGTTACCACAATGGTTAGCACAATGGTTAGCGCAATGTTTACCACAATGGTTATCACAATGATTACCACAATGATTAGCACGCGCGTTCCATAGGTGCCCGGTTGAACTCTTCCTCCCGGCCCCGGCAGTGGAAACGATGGGGGCGGGATTCACACAGCAGATGGTCGATGGGCAGGTTGCGTGGGGCATAGTAAAGCATCGGTACTCTCCCATCTCTTCCAAGATTTCTTGCCAGCATGGAAGAGTAGGTCAAATCCTCTCTGGAGGGGTCATCTAGAGCTGCCTCTAGAGCTCTTTCTCGTGGAGGCCCTTCCACCAGCGAGCGGCATCGCCAAATTATTGCAGGGCTGTACCTTTACCTCTTCATGTAGAAGTGAGATCAGCACAGTCCAGGATGAAGCAACCAGGCCTCGGGATCAAAAATAGCGAGTGCTGATGCTGCTCCAGTCAAAATATACTTTGTGTAATCATATTTGTGCATTAGCCTTTGTCGGGACGAGTGTTGCCACTTGTGGAGTGATCGTCATGGAGAAAGGGTTCCGATCCAGTGGTATGGGGCACACGCTCCAAACAGCTGTGGCATTGGCCGGCGGTGCCACGGTTGCTGCTTTTTTTATGGAGGTTCGTGGTTCGAGCCAAGTGGCTGGCCTGGTTAATACTGTGGCTGTATCCACCATAAAATACGTGCCGTCTGCCTCCCAGTGGACGTTTAAGATGCCACGACGTTCAAGAACGTGTTGGCTATATGTGCCGGTGTCGTGGTCCAAATTTGCCATTTTTGATCGACTGCTCACAAATTCATCTTCTTTTGTTCTTTCGGTAAAGTCACGTAGAATGAGAATAAAATAATAAATTGATAAAATAAAATAACACAATATTCTCACGACGTTTCAGCCACAACACAAGCGGCCTTCATCAGGTGAAGGGACGAGACTGTCTGGAGGACAGCGCTGGAGTGAAAAAGCCACGCTCAGATCGTGACCTTTAAGCTGTGTGAGAAGAAACAAAGCGCCTTGACAAAGGAATTAGCATTGAATTTAGCATTGAAATGGCTGAGTGATTAGCTTGTGACTGGTCACAGAAATGGCTATGTTAAAGTTAAAGCATACACATCCACAGAAGCACCCCTTGACAAAGGAATTAGCATAGAATTTAGCATTGAAATAGCTAAGTTAAAGCATACACATCCGCAGAGGCATCCCTTGACAAATGAATTAGCATAGAATTTAGCATTGAAATAGCTGAGTGATTAGCTTGTAACTGGTCACAGAAATAGCTATGTTAAAGTCAGAGCATACACATTCACAGTGACCAGTTAGAAGCTAATCACTCAGCTATTTCAATGCTAAATTCTATGCTAATTCCTTTGTCAAGGGATGCCTCTGCGGATGTGTATGCTTTAACTTAGCTATTTCAATGCTAAATTCTATGCTAATTCCTTTGTCAAGGGGTGCCTCTGAGGATGTGTATGCTTTAACTTTAACATAGCCATTTCTGTGACCAGTCACAAGCTAATCACTCAGCCATTTCAATGCTAAATTCAATGCTAATTCCTTTGCCAAGGCGCTTTGTTTCTTCTCACACAGCTTAAAGGTCGCGATCTGAGCATGGCTTTTTCACTCCAGCGCTGTCCTCCAGACAGTCTCGTCCCTTCACCTGATGAAGGCTGCTTGTGTTGTGGCCGAAACGTCGTGAGAATATTATTATTTTATTTTATAAATTTATTATTTTATTCTCATTCTGCGTGACTTTACCGAAAGAACCAAAGAAGATGAATCCCTGCAGTCACGAAAGCTTTAAATCGAAATGCTCACAAATTATTTGGTTAGAAAAGCCACATAGCAACATGGCCTCTTGCTTGCGCTGGCCAGTGCTGCTGGGTTCACCTTGTGCCTCGCAGGGTCAGAATCAGAATCTGTATTAAAACTGGAGGAATCCGAAGAACTATGAAGCTCTTCTTCACAGATGTCCAGTATGAGTTCCCCTTCCGCAGAGCGCATCAGGGTGTACCGCGTGGCAGTCGCCCGTATGAATAAATATCAAGTTAAGACGATGAGAATGTTGAAATGGTACGGGGCTCACATTCTGCAAGTAGTGCGTGGCAGACTGATGCCCAATCCTACTGGACATCTGTGAAAAAAAAAAGAGCTTCACAGCTCGTCGGATTCCACCAGTCAAAATAAATATTCTGACTGTGACGGCGATGCCGGGCCGGGGTGCTGGGTTCACCTCTGGCGAGGCTTCGCACCGCAACGGCGCGGAGCAACAGCCGCGGCGGCGGCGGCGGCGGCGGCAGCAGCGGGAGCGGTGGCAGTGGCGCGACGCGTATCGATCGCCGTGAACCCTCGTGCCCGCCGCAGGAGCTGGTGAAGCAGCTGGAGGAGCGCAGGGAGGGCTACGAGACGCTGCAAAGGCGGGCGCAGCAGCTGGCACGCGGTGGCGCCGCCAAAGCTCTGGAGCCCAACATGCTGCGCCTCACCAAGCGCTGGCGGGACCTGGAGAGCCACTTCCTGCAGTTCCGCAGGGCGCAGCACCAGACGGTAACGTCGCCGGCGGTCCTTCGAAGCTGCTTTGTGGAGGCAACTTCTCGGGATTTTATTCTGGTTTTTTTTTGTTAGTGAATGCTCCACGCCCTGTTTTAAACCCTTTCCCATGCCGGGACGTCTGCAAGTTGTTCTTAAAGACATTGTTAATCGCCACAGAGATCCGTAGCGACACGACCACCACGCTCTACGATAGCGGGGCACCAAAGAGTGCCACACGCCCTCCCGCATGACCTTGTGGGTGCCTCGGTACCGACACAGTTATTTTACTTGAGTTTTTATTCCGTTGCGATGACTTACGTGTCCATTATTGGAACGAAATTGGAAGAAAAACTGAATGGGAATGAGTATTTTTTTTTAAATGGCCTTGTTCCTTATTTTAAAGCAGGGCAAGGGCTGTTCTTTCACAGCCCTTCAACAATATGTACTGGCTTTCCCGTGATGAGTGTCTGCAGTAAAGTTAGCAAATGTTACTTGTAATTGAAACTGTGTTACGCATGTGTTTGTCACTTTTACGGATTTGTGTGAGATCCAATGTCCACTCGTGGATGAATGTTGATATAGTAAAACAATGCCCCATTTGTTAATTTTCTTGCAAGTTCGGAGTTGTTGATGGGCACCACAACACGAAGTGCGATATCCAACCATAAACCAATCTCTATGCCCTTATTCTCTGCTCTGCAGGAAAGCCATTTGGCATCGCTTAGGATGAGTGTGGTGACACATCTCAAGATTTTACTGTAATAATAGTGTTAAACTAATGTTTGACTATCTTATGGGTTTTTTTTTGGGTTAGATCGCGTAAATATATTATTAAAGTGTTGTTAAAGCCGCCACCACCCGACACCCCTGGGCTGCAGCCCCTAAAGCCCATGCCTTAATCCGGCCCTGCCTCCAGCTGATGCAACCCTTATTATTATTATTAGGCTTGATAATAGGTTTTTCCCCTTTTTTCTGGCAACAGAACAGGTGTTAAGATGTTATAACACCAAACTTAAACTTTTTACAAGGAATCATATCTGCATTAACCACAATGCCTCTGGTCAGAATGCAAACAAAAAACATACTCTGATAATATATTGGCATTGTCCTTGAAACTGATTGGTCCACACCAGAGACAGCTTTCTTTTGAGCCTCGTCTCAAACGGTGTCAGACCAGAGGACGCTAAAAAGTGTCTAACACCGTTTGAGATGAGGCTCAAAAGAAAGCTGTCTCTGGTGTGGACCAATCAGTTTCAAGGACAATGCCATATCTTATCAGAGTATGTGTTTTGTTTGCATTCCGGCCACATGCGTTGTGGTTAATGCAGACATGATTCCTTGTAAAAGGTTTCAGTTTGGTGTTTTAACATTTTAACACCTGTTTGTTGCCAGAAAAAAGGAGAAAACCTTATTATCATATTTTCATACTGGCAAAGGAGATCCCATGATATTATTAGGTTTCATTGCTTATAAATAATTTCATCCCATTTATTCCCTCCACTAATTCCTTTCTCAGTCTTTGCTTTGTCAAAATTCAAGGTGAATTATTTTTTGTTGACTTTACAGAGTTGGCTGTTACATCGTTGGACGTTTTTTCCCTCTCATTTGCTTCACTTGTGCATGACTGCTAAGTGCAGCAGGAGGATGGCACTGTGGGATTTACAGGCAGAGATTGTGAGCTTGAAAGCCACCATCTGAACATTACAGCAGTGCTGCATGCATCTGTTCTGATCTTCCACAGACTGCCACAAACCGCATGGATGGTTCTCTGCTGTCGTTAAATTTTGCACGATGCTGTCTGTTTGAGAGTGTTTCTAAGCCCATTAAAGCAGAGTTGACGCTGAGACGTTTGGCTATGAGGTAGAGTTGAACGCTGTGAAAGCAACGCTTCATTTTAATAATTTAACTGCGGCTTAACACATTAAGCGATGAGCTGTAGGGCTGTTTATGATGATTAAGACTGTCTGTGCTGTGTCCAAAAGAATAATTGCACAACATCAACAGCACAACGTCGCATTTTCAGGACACCTCAACCTTTCAGTGGCCACGTTACCAGAACTAAAGGAAAATTAATAATGGCCACACTTCAAGTAGGTATCCCACGCAGCATTATCGATTGCCCTGTGTGCTCACACGTTCCCATTGAGTTCATTACTCCGTACCGTGGCGTACTTGCACAAACTGTAAGCCACTAGACCTAGAACTCTACGAATCCATTCTGTGGAATAACATTTTACAGTGTGACCATTGTAGCAATTTTTGATGTTGAAAGTGACTGGAACGGCAGGACAGGGCTGGCGTTTGCCAGAACGTAAACTTGTAAATAAAATGGGTCTAAGTAAACGCTCGCGCCTTTTTACGCGCTGCGGACGGCGATAGGTTTCTGGCGAGCGCGTGAATAGTGAGTAAGCCTTAATTAAAATGTACCGTGTTGCACGATCCGCAGACGTAACCACGACGTGCATAATAAATGCAGCGTAACACATGCAACGGTGGCAGCGGCAGCGGCAGCAGCAAAACTGTCAGGACCTCAATTAACATTCAGAGTCGATCCAGAGGATCTAAAGGGGGACAGCCTGGGAGGCAAAAAAAAAACAACCGGGAACTTGTTTTATTTATAGTAAAATCATTAGAGCGTCCGCTGCTGTCAGTTGCGCAAACGTTTGACGCCTGATTTGCCTAAAAGGGTTTAATGGTGGCGATTCAATTAGCTTGATTGGCACGGAGGTCTGGCACGCGGAGTGGGAGGTGCGCCGCTCTTTAAACGCGTCCGGGCGTCGGTTGCCGCGCGATCATTCCGGCCAAATGCGCCGTGCGACTCTAAAATCGGTGGGCGGCTATGCGCTCGCGCAGCCATCATTTGCACCTCCGACGCGGCTATTTGCCCTCTCTTGGTGAATTATTCTTTTCGTTCAGCGTTTTGTAATTTTGCACCATGCTCGCCCGAAAATAAACGGTTCGTCAGGGGAAGTGTCATTACGGTTATTTAAACTGCGGCTTCAAAAACATATAAAAGCAATGTCGACATAAAAATAATGAACCTTTGATATATTGCCTTAGGATTGTTGGTTCTTAAAAATATGCTAATGCTAAGTGGGCACAAGCAAGCGTGTATTTAGTGTTTGAGATCGACTAGTATACTTATAGTTCACACTATTTACTTTTAATAAAGAGAACTGGTGATCACAGAGGACTCGGCTGCAATGTAAACATTTTACTCAAGAGGAGTATAATTCCCGTGATCATTGTACTTCATGTACTCATCTTGTACAATGGAAATGCCTTTTTAAACAGGACAAATTAACTGTAATTCATTTAATTGGTGATTGTATTATGTTGAACTTCTTTCGCACCATACGTAGCCAACCGTGCTAATTAGAGGTCATGAAATTCTTAATTAAATTCAACCAATAGTTTTCCATTGTGCAAAAAAACACTGCCTCCATCCACCCAGCAGTATAAATGGGTTCACCACAGTCAGCAGGTCTGCACAGCGTGGAAGAGTAGTCAAGTCAAGTTTATTTCTGTTTACATCCGTGGCGACTTTCTGGCACAATTCTGCCACTCACGGCTCCATAACGTTAATATTCAACGTATTTTTTTCTCAAGAATTATAAAAAATATATATAGGCCAAAAATACACTCGAAAGCTTTGTCTTGTGGAGACTCTTTTGCCAGCATTGGTGTGAGCAAGACGTTGCAGGGTTGCACCTTTACCATTTATACGTTTAAGTACGAGTGTAAAATGGCACGGATTTATCTTGTATCTCAAGCGAGGTCTCCAAATGTACTGCTTCACCTTATTCCAAAAACAAACAGAAATACACACCTGTGGTACTCTTTCACTCCCCGTCCTTACCTCAACTAAAAAAAAAACTGGAATCCATTCTAGATAGCAGCACACCATAGCTTGTGCATTTCTACTTCGGAGGCAAATGCTAAAACAAACCACTTTATTTCGAAATTCAGGGTTGAGCTATGGGGCAGTGGTCAGAGCACTGCACTATGAGCCCGTCAACCTGAATTTGGTTTCCGGCCATGGCTAAAATCAAAGGGGGAATGATATATAGACCAGTCTTGAGCATAACCCGTCATTCATCAACCCAGAGTGACCAGCATGTTGAACCAAGGTTGACAACCGCCATCAACCGATACGGCATAAGGGGAGGCCTTCGTCCAGTGGTGGAGTGACAAAACGTAACGAATTAATGTTATAATTGTTGTGCTACAAATAGCGTGGTAAACACGACTGGCTACGTACAATGCGAAATAAATTAAACACATGTACATACATGCATACGAAACGTCAAGAATTGCTATCAGGTCAATGATTAACAATTGAATTTGTTCGTTAAAGTGAGGACATGCCATGCTAAACGTTGCATGGAAATACAATTTTCTACTCTCGCCATTTAAGAACGTGAACTGATTTTTTTGCTTGATGAAAATGAACACAATCAGAGTGACTTGTGTTGGGTGTTCTCGCATAGCCTTACATTATACATTTTAATTGGTATACTTATAATGTTTAATTCAGGCAGAGCAGAAGAAGAATATTCCTCTTAATGTGCCAGTGGGCTAAGTATGGAACGTGCCGAAATTAATCTAAATGAGTGAGCACGTGACTTTTACAACATATTATCATTCATGCAGTTCTATATTGCAAGTTTATCAATTCACTTTATAAGTTATTCATCTTGCTTTTAAATTCAAATTACGACCTTTGAATAAAAATTTGTGCATTAAGTTAAATAATAATGATTTAGTTTAACACGTCGGCTTTCACGACCAATATTATCCATAAGAGTTTTTTGGATTAGATCGGGTTTACGTGGTCGAACCCAAAAAGAATAATAATGAACCACTGCGCCACTCCGCTACCCCATTAAGTTGGGTGCAGCTTGTCAAGCGAAGTCTTTGGGGTGGTGGCATGGCCCAGCGGTTGTGTGCTTGCCGCATGCTAATTATAACAATAAACAATTTACAACGCGCATAATTTTTTGATTTAAAGCTTTCGTGACTGCAGTAATTCATATTCTTAGTTTTTTCGGTAAAGTCACATTGAAGAGAAACAACAAAATAACAAAATATATATAAAACAATAAAAAATAAAAATTCTCACGACGTTTCGACCATAACTCAAACGGTCATCATCAGGTGTGTCGGTTTGCATAAATTTATTTTGAAAACGGCATATTTATTTATATATATAAAAATAACGTTTGCGTCACGCGCAACGATGGCAGTTTGCCAGGACTAGTCCATCTATTTTTTGAAAAGAGGAGGGGGGAGACGAAATTTGTTTTTATGTATGCTGTCTGAAAGGCACTGTAAGCGTGAACAATCAATCAGAACTGAAATGATTTATCAAATCTTTCCAATGATTGCTAAGATAGAATCCATCTTCTCGGTTGAAATTGTCTCTGTGTTTGTATATGTGGATAGCCTCATGAACGAATCTCTCATGGAAGCCAGATGGCTTACAAAGAACCTCCGTCTTGGAAAAGTCAATGGCATGTGAGCCTACTGAATTAGAACAATGATCTGCTACGGCCGAGGTGTTGGTCCTACCGTGTTTAAGGTCTGCTTTATGTTCACGAATGCGGTCCGAGATATGGCGTTTGGTTTCTCCAATGTAACTACTACCCTGGTGTCTACAAACTAAGTTGCCTCTGTGGTAGTAGTTACATTGGAGAAACCAAACGCCATATCTCGGACCGCATTCGTGAACATAAAGCAGACCTTAAATACGGTAGGACCAACACCTCGGCCGTAGCAGATCATTGTTCTAATTCAGTAGGCTCACATGCCATTGACTTTTCCAAGACGGAGGTTCTTTGTAAGCCATCTGGCTTCCATGAGAGATTCGTTCATGAGGCTATCCACATATACAAACACAGAGACAATTTCAACCGAGAAGATGGATTCTATCTTAGCAATCATTGGAAAGATTTGATAAATCATTTCACTTCTTGATTGATTGTTCACGCTTACAGTGCCTTTCAGACAGCATACATAAAAACAAATTTCGTCTCCCCCCTCCTCTTTTCAAAAAATAGATGGACTAGTCCTGGCAAACTGCCATCGTTGCGCGTGACGCAAACGTTATTTTTATATATATAAATAAATATGCCGTTTTCAAAATAAATTTATGCAAACCGACACACCTGATGATGACCGTTTGAGTTATGGTCGAAACGTCGTGAGAATTTTTATTTTTTATTGTTTTATATATATTTTGTTATTTTGTTGTTTCTCTTCAACGTGACTTTACCGAAAAAACTAAGAATATAATATAACGCGCATAATTTTTCACGAAATTAACACATTTTTCACGAATTTGGAGGCCTGGACAGGTGAGGGTCTAAATTGGTGAGCCTTTGAGCCGCTGCTTGAGGAGTGGATGGTGCTTTGATGTGCCGTAAGAGAAAGTTCCATGTGGCTGATGGGGCTACTGTGAAAGGCGACTCAGCCAGGACACTCTTGGTTCTGGATATAATGAGCCAGGTTGTTAAATGAACTCCGTAGAATGTGGCGGATATCTGTGGTCAGTGGAGTGAGAAGTTTGAAGAGCTATGGCGGGAGATCTTGACAGAGAGCTCTGTGTTGTGGTACAGGATAACGGTGTTGTACTGCGCTCTTGGTTTCACGGGGAGACTTGTGCGGTCTGAGCCCCAAGGCCGTCTGGGTTACTACTCTGGGCACATTAACAGAATCAGAATCTTTATTTAAACTGCAGGAGCAATCCGATAAGCTTCGAAGCTCTTTTTTTCACGGATGTCCAGTACGGTACCGCCTGGTGCATAGTCGACATTCAAGATCCCGGGATCTTGAATGTCGGGATCTTGAATAGGGTCACGTGTGCTGGCGGCACAGTCTTAGGTTTTTGCCAAATTCTAAAAATTGCTCGCACATTTCACTGCCCCGGGAAACGAGCAGCGATCATCTCCACCGCCTGTGAACACTTAGCAGGCCCCTCCTTGAACACTCCTTGAGTGAGGCTGTCCTGGGAAAACAAATAAACTGATAATAATATATCAATGAGCTGAGAACATGTTAATGTATAGAGGACTGCAGAGCTTGGGCGATTGTAGGCGCCGGCTCATCGCTTGCCCGTGGTTTCTCCTCGTGCCTTCGAGTCGTTCTCTCTGTCCACGAGGGTGAAGCGCGAACACACTGTGCATGTTACAAGTTGCATTTTTTAAAATATCTATTTTTAGTGTCTGGGGAAAATTGTGGTTATAATTTTCCGCGAATCTTTTACGGTACCCAAGACTTTAAGGGTGGGAGGTCCCCTACACTCGCAAGCAGACAGGATCGAGTGTCTAATGTTGCTCGTAAAAAAATAAAATGCAGCACTTTAAAGTTTTGCCCGAAGGCAGCGGTTAAATAATTCACAGTCACATTCAGCGATCGGCACGGGTATTGCCGAAATCGGCAAGAGGATGTGTGTTTTTTTTGCAGTCGAACGTCGAAGTGGTTTTGTACTTTTTAAAATATTTAGGCTCATTAGTGTAATTTTTCTTGTAACATGTAAGCATTGGAACAACATTACTTCAACTTGTTATTCACATAATTTTCACAATTACTGCACGCGTATTTATTCACGATGTTCTCCATAATAATAGGGTTTTTCCCCTTTTTTCTGGCAACAAAACTGAAACCTTTTTACAAGGATTCATGTCTGCATTAACCACAATACCTGCAGTCAAACTGCAAACAAAAAACATACTATGATAATATATGCATTGTCCTTGAAACTGATTGGTCCACACCAAGGAACGGCTTTCTTTTGAGCCTCGACCCAATTGGTGCTTGACCAGATGACGCCAAAAGGGTCAAGGCTCAAAAGATAGCCGTCCCTTGGTGTGGACCAATCAGTTTCAAGGACAATGCATATATTATCATAGTATGTTTTTTGTTTGCATTTTGACTGCAGGTATTGTGGTTAATGCAGACATGAATCCTTGTAAAAAGGTTTCAGTTTTGTTGCCAGAAAAAAGGGGAAAAACCCTATTATTATATTTTGGAACTGGCAAAGGAGGTCTTATGATGATGGTCTCCATAATGTTGTATTCATTGCAAATATTTTTGTTTAATCTTAATGTGCTCCCACCTGGTTATTAAGTGAGGATTTTTTTTTCCTTTCTGCTAAGTGTGCCCCCTATTGGGCCCGATTAAATGTCCTCTCAATAACCCATTTAACTCTACCCCGGGATGCTCCCTGTGTGCAATGGTTGGCGCGCTGGACTTGACATATTAGAGGCCGTCGGCTCCCTCACCAATCTCACAACGCCGCAGTCGAAAAAACGGCCAGGTTGCTTAAATGCCCCCACCCCTGGTCCACCCCGTAGTGTAAATGCGCACACCACGGTTATTCGATCGGCATGTCAATCGAATAACGATCTCTTCCAAGGTCTCTGACCAGCGTGGAGGAGAAGGCCGAATACCCTCGGGCAGAGGAGGGGGGGAATCTCTAGAGAGCTCCCTTTAGTGGAGGCCATTCCCGCCCGAAGTGGCGTGAGAAAGAAATTGTACGGCTGCACCCAACTTTAAATTATATCCGAGCTTGAATTTTACGCATTAACGTATCAAAAGTCGGCTTCGTAACATGCCATTCATTTCAACGTTTAAATGTGGCTTCAGCCCGCATCGTTGCATTAACAAGTCCCCAACTCCCCTCCCGTCCCTCTCTCACCTTTCCTCCCGCAACGCAGCAAACGGTGTTCAGCGAGACAACGGTCACCGTGACGACGGTGGGGTTGCCAGGGCAGCAGCACCAGCAGCCGACGGGAACTGCCGAGTACCTGCTGGACATTAACGAGCTGTTGCTGTCGTTAGCGAGGGCCGAGCAGGCCCTGTACGGACCCGAGCTGCAGGGCGGCGAGTTCGAGGACTTCTCGCGACAGGAGGCCACGCTGAAGGTGAGGCGGTGGACCCCCGGTGGGACAATTTGTGTTGCGTCACGTCGTGGTGATGCGCCGCTCACAATCAAAACGCCACCGCAAGAGTTCTGCCATGATTTTTCTAAAGGTCGCTCCACTCGTGCCCCGAAATGCATTTCGCAAAGACCGCGATTGTTTTTGTCACACGGTTGTACCTGTGTGTATGTACAGTATGTATGTGTGTTGAACTTCTTTCACAGCATATGTAACCAACCATGCTAATCAGAGGTGGTGGGGGAAGGACAACAAACTAAATAAGCATTCAATGGCTTCCTAATATCGGAAGAAAGAGCATTCCAGACGTACGCGGAAGCATATCTAAAAGCGCACAATGCAGTGATCGTCTTTGTTCGATGGTTACAAAGTAAGGGCTTCATAACCATTGTGGTGCAGTGAGATGGGACAAACATTATATGAACATTGACACTCAAGATGGATGACAATTCAACAAGATGAGGTTAGAACTGGAAGTTAATATTTCAAGTGAAATATTATGCTGCGATGAGATGTGAGATATGGTTAAAAATATTTACATTTGTACTGTGCAAACAATGTGAAATACCTTTATACAGTAGATAGATGCAATATTGTCCCATGTTTGAGGGTTATTATTATTATTAAATAAGATTTTTTTATGATTATTATTTGTCAGTTTTTCTCAATTGTTTCCTGATTGGACTTTTGGCATCGTATCAATAGACGGAGTATTTATATGTTTCTCTCAGGGAGCAGCGTTCAACCCCTGCATGTTAGCAAATGGCTCAGAAGCAGATATCATAGAGCTGCCTCTGAGCTCCTTTCAGGTGACCTCTGGTCCATACAACGCTTTCCCAGCCACTCCGCGTATGAGAGCAATGTTCGTCGCATGGCAGTCCACCGATTTTTTTGTTGTTATGCTCAGAGCTGGATTGAGGCAAATTAAGTCCAGAATTGAACGTCGGTGCTATGGGTCTTTTATGTGATCATCTGTGACTTGGCTTAGACCATCAACTCGCTGCGCTTGAGAACTTGGTCTAATCACGGGCGGCTACCAGGAACTGAACCCCCCCCCCCCCCCCCCCCCAGGATCTGTGCGGCACTCGCTCGGCTCTCTGACCTCTTGAGCCACCCCGGGCTCCCCGGGCACGGACTGGCAAGGTGCCACACGCGCACCTTTGCCAGTCTGTGCCCCCCATGTGAGGTCACGCAAAATCCTCCCATCCACGATGGTGACGACCCACCAATCGGCTCCTCTCAAAACTTTTCTTCAGAATCTGTTTCTGCTTCAGCTGCACAATATCTCATTTTACCTGTTGGCGGCCTCAGCCCAGTTATGTTAGGCTCATTGGCGACCGTTCAAACGAATAAGTTTAATTAAACTTTGGTTTTTGAGAACTAAAAACGTCAGTTTGACCGTCACGTCACAATCTGGTAGCTCGGCGTATCGGAACTCGCAAGCCGTTATTGTTTAAAGGGTAAACGCGCCAATTGAAGAATGTTTCAGGAGAAGCCCCGTGTAAAAGTCACCCTCTGTATCCGTTCTCTGACACACGGGGTAGTTCGCGCTCCGTGAGAATTCCAAAAGGGGTCTCTTCATCTTGTGAGATGTTGCCGATAGCAACATCGTAACAAATTCGAGGGGGGGGGGCGGTGTGGAGGGGGAAAAGACGATAACATAACATGTTCCTTTAGAAGCGGGATACTCATGCGGGGCATATCACTCGGTGTTCGGTATAGCACGCATGATCGTTAGCAGATTTGGAGCATGATGTACTTGGTCTTGTATGCACAAGGACCGTGTGCCAGCCAACCCAGTGACATAATTGGGAACACTGTGTAATGTGTCACCATAAGGCCTGTATGTGTGCAGTGTTCTATGTGTGTCTGTCTTGACACTATGGTGCTGTCACCGGCTTGTTTGACCGCCATATGGGTTACCACCTGAATGAAGTCGCTGTGGGAAATCATGCTGGTTTTTCAAGGGAAAAACATAAAATACGGGGTAAATGCAAAACCTAAATTGGTACTTAGCAAGAGTCAACGCAGATTGAGACATCAGCACGTGCATTTTTTTTTTCACGGAAGTGATTTCGGTCGCGAAATAAATCTTTTTTCGCTGGACAGTTGGAAACAAAACTGCACAAACAGCTGACTTAACTGGTGACTGATTAGGTTTTTCATATCATCAACCATGGTCAGTCCACTGCTGGATGAAAAACTCCCCACGATTCTAGCCACCCTCTCTCGCAGCCCTTTCGTGTACGCATTGATCTTCCTAGCGCGTAGACACACAGTGATTTCAACGCTCCACCTTCTCTTGCGTATATATTTTTTTAGTCTTCGATAATAACAGCGTTTTGGGGATTTTGCAACTTTCATCCGAACTTCAGTGTCACGCACGTGACCATTTCCTGAAAGTAATTGCGACGCGCCTCTGTAAACGTCCGTGAGCGATTGCATTGCCGCTTGCGCCTCACTGTCGCGACGCACCAAAACGGACGGAGTCGAGAGAGACGCGCTCCGAAATTTATCGTGACTATGAATTTCATAAAGTGAGGTTTCTGCTCTTTGCCAAAAAAAAAACAACCGTTAAAAGTGTCACACGCATGTTTACGGGGCAAGCCAATAGCGGGATTAATCGCGGCGCGCTACATCACACAGTGCGTGGCACCGGCAGATGTCTCTCACTGCCTCTTATCAGCGGTTGGTCGTCTCCTCTCGGTTTTCGGCTGAGACTAAAGCCATCAAATTTGAATTTCTTAGCAGGCTTGTTTCCTCGGGGTTTCGTTTAATCATGCGGACGTTCTAAGGATTGGCTCCCTATAGCTTTGCAGCTGCCTCTGCTTTGCTTCCGCGGTGACGCACGCTTCGGACTTAACTATTGATCATCTGCTTTCCCAGAGCCCGTTGAACAAAAGGTAGGAAAATGTTTATATCCAATTTAACCGGAAGCATTTATTTTTCATTTTCGTCATTTAGTAATTGTAATGAACTGAGTCATTGTGTTAAACTTGGACATTCGTTCCTAATCAGATTTGCTCGAAGAAAGAAGAGGGAGCGGGGAGGAGGGAGGGGGTAAAAATGGCGACGCAGTAGTTGTAGGAGAGAGAAAAAAATCTACCCATGGCATCGTGAATTAATTTACTGCCGATCATTAAGGATCAAGTGACCAGGGCGTTTGGCGTTTAGGATAAGCTGGGGCGGTAAGTGCTCAGCGTCGTGAGCAGATTCGTCAAGGGGGTGGCCGTAATTCCGTTATGTCTCTGCGGGGTCGCAGGAAGGGGTGGCCGCTTGCCCGCCAGCCGTCACGACAACAGCCACCATTGATCTCGGGGATGCTTCTCTCTCGGCGGAGTGCCCTTTGACACCGCCGCTGTATAATAATGCGTGACCGGCTTCTTTGCTTGGCTAATTTAAATGACTTTCCCGCTCGCCGGCCTGCACTCTACTCCATCCCTCCCCCACCTCTGCACCTGTGGGTGAAGGTCTTTTCAAGCAAACCTCAAAAAAAGAAATATTCCTGACACGGTTTTGCAAATGAACATTCATTTCATTGTGTTTTACAGTGGCGCTTGACCCTAACCTTGTGTTGCCATCCGTCCCGTTGTTATTCCGATGACTGTTGCGCGTTGCCCTATTTGTAACGATGCGTTCATGAATTCCAGTTTTTGTCAAATGTATGATCGCTTTAGCTTTGCTTCCCGAGTCCAGTATTCATGCATTCATTGAAATGTAATGTATTTTTGCATTAGAATGGATTGTCAATTATGGGGTGTAGTATACGAATGGGGATTCAATTACGGTATTATAATTGTCGTATATATATTTTTTATTGATATTCATTTCTGTTCATGTTACAATAAACGGACATAAACACATTAACGTTGGTAAGTATTGCGCATCGCCCAAAATACATTGCGTAGCATAAATATTGCATTAACTAAATCCATCCTGTTTTAATGATGTATTTGCCAAATGTTGCTAGATTTGTCAATGCAATATTCTTCACGCCAAATATCACTACTTATTTTTCATTACACAAACAAAACCGCGAATTTTTTTTTTTAGGACCTGATTAAATTTCCTCTTTTCCAGTGTGAAGCTATAACCCTCCAAGTATGCGCGTTCTACATTGCTGTTAATTGTGCACACTCTGTCTAGTTTATGCTGTTTAAAAACTAAAATAAAAACATTTCACCGCTAGTTTTATAATACGTTCAAAAGCCCTGCCTTGGATTTACCGAACCTGGGCAGGAAACAACATCAGACAACCTCGCACCCCCTTTATAAATAATGCCCCTGGGCTGCTAATAAGACTTCATAAGCTGCTTATAGCAGAACCTCGTGGGTTAATGAGTGTGGTGGTTAGCTTCGGCCACAGCGTAAAGGGCCCCGCGTACGCTAAATCACCATCTCTACGACACCGCAAGAGTTGGGCGGAGGATTAATGGAAGCCCCCACCGCCCCCCTCCCCCCACCGTTTTTTAGTTTTATTCTTAACTCATTGTTTCTGAGCGCTGGAACACGCTTTCTCAAAATCGTGTGGTCAGCACCACAGGAATGTAATATAACTAGCCGCGGCAATCAGTACGTGTCTGCAGAAATGTATGCCCCATTTTTTTTTGCTTAGATACGGATTTAGATGCCAGCGTGATAAATATTTAATAACGCTGAACCAGAGAGCTGTATAAGCGAAACGAAAAAAGTAAGGAATGTTGACCATGGTTCATAACAGAGAAGGATTTACGGAAACCCTCGAGGAACTGTGTTGGAGTTAACTGACATTTACAGAGTTGTGGGAGGCAATTGTGGGCACATTTTGTCATGACACCTGCACCCCAATGATCCCACCCTGTGATCTCTCTGCTGTTGCGAACTATTAGTTGAATTATTTTACTCTGGTGGCTTGAGGTGAATTTGTACCGCAGGCATCGGGGGTGAATTATAAATAATGATCCCCTTGATTCTGTTGCCCAGCTATTGAGGCCGACAATGATTCA